CACACACACACACACACACACACACACACACACACACACACACACACCCTTCCATAGCCATCCAGATCTTTTCATGGCAAGGAGGATCCTCTTCACTGGGCATGTCCCTAGCCTTGGAACGCCAGCATTCTCAGTCCTGGAGTCCTGGTAGCTATGGCATCTCCATAGTCCCAAGATTCAGAATCATGAGCAAGAACTGAGTAACCTGGTCATCTCAGCTGTCTTAAAGTGTGTGGGAAAGCATCAGGGTTTCCTCTTGTGCTTTCGGGGTGAAGCACTGGTTCTGGACCTGGCCAGGTGATGTCTAAGAAAGAAGTGGGTTTCGCACGAGGCTGTGTCCATGGGTTATTACAGGCAGCCCTCCTATGGGGGGATGAGGTAACTGTGCTCTGAGGCCCCTGCTTTACTTCCTATTCAGGAAGGAGTTGACCCTAAAAAGCTGGACACCTTGACCACAGGCTTTGGCTTTCCTGTGGGTGCTGCCACCCTGGCAGACGAAGTAGGTGTGGACGTAGCCCAGCATGTAGCAGAAGACCTAGGCAAAGCCTTTGGGGAGCGGTTCGGAGGTGGCAACGTAGAACTGTTGAAGCAGATGGTCTCCAAGGGCTTCTTGGGTGAGTAGCCACATGAGACACGAGTAACACTGTTAGTTACCAAGTTCTGAGCGGCTGTGTGAGCAGAGAGCGGGGAGGAGAGTTTCCTAAACACAGAACCTTGGATATAGGAAATGCCGTAGGCTGGGTGTGTAGATTAGGGGGAAAGACAGAGGCTTACAGGACTCTGCTATGTATACCAGACAGACGAGCATATTCCTCCTGCCAAGATCTGACACTATCGGAGCAAGTTCTGTATCCAGGCTTGACCTTGTGCCCTGGCCTTGTGTAGGGAGCTCAGCCTTCCCATTCAGAACATACCATTAAGGCTGCAGGAAATCACCTTCTGTTTGGACACTAAAGTCCAGGGGTGGAGGGTGGACTTGCTTGTTCAGATTCAGATGTCCGTGCACCAGGCAGTTCTCTCTGCCAGTCATCAGGACTAAATGGCTCAGTTGGCTGGACACAGGCACTGAGGGGTGCAGCAGCGTGCTAGAAGCTCCCAGCACCCAGCGGACATGAGTTCTCAGCTAGGGGGAAGGACAACAACTAGCAGTCTCTTTCTTCTCTCAGGTCGCAAGTCTGGGAAGGGCTTCTACATCTATCAGGAGGGGTCAAAGAATAAGAGCCTGAACTCGGAAATGGACGGCATCCTGGCAAGCCTGAGACTGGCTGCCAAGCCTGAGGTGTAAGTTGACTGGCGTGATTGTTCGCACAGAAGTATTGTTTCTCTGGTAGCTCACAGCTCCAAGCCCCTTTTCTGTTCTATGACCCAAAGCTGGCAAAGCGCTACAGCTAAGCTCCCTGCATTTGCCCTCAGCCTAGGCGTCCAGGTGAGGACTGGTCAAGCCTGGGGCAAGCCTTGCCTGTATTTGTGTTGATTTCTTGAGACAGGGTTTCTCTGTGTAGCATTGGCTGTCCTGGAACTCTGTCTCTAGTCCATGCTGGCTGCGGACTCAGAGATCTGCCTTGCCTGTGAAGATGGAAGATGGATTGCGTGCCCCCCCAACACACACACTCTTGCTCTTTGTTAGTTTTGGGAACACACTGCTATTGCTGATCTGTCAGGTGATAGTGATTGAAACTTCTGTGCCAGGCCATTCTGGGTGCTTATTTTCACATCAGTCAGGGAAAGTCTCACCCCTTTTTCCAAGAGAAAGGCTGTGTCATCTTTCAGGATGGTGTGGTCTATCCTGGCCGCTGGACTCCCTAAGACTCACCTGTACCCCACATGCTACACTCAGCTCCTCCCATTCTTTCCCTAGCTAAATGTTCCTTCCTGCTCCTTCTTTTTCTCAGCTCCTCTGACGAAGACATCCAATACCGTGTGATACTGAGGTTCGTGAACGAGGCAGTCCTGTGCCTACAGGAAGGGATCCTGGCCACACCTGCAGAGGGAGACATTGGAGCAGTGTTTGGGCTGGGCTTTCCCCCTTGTCTCGGAGGTCAGTGTGGAGGCTGGGCCTGACTTCCTTTATCTTTGCACTTGTTGTGTCGCTTTCGCTGATGTCCTGTCTCTGCTCAGGGCCCTTCCGCTTTGTGGATCTGTACGGTGCGCAGAAGGTAGTGGACCGGCTCCGGAAGTACGAGTCTGCCTACGGAATACAGTTTACCCCATGCCAGCTGCTCCTCGACCATGCAAACACCCCCAGCAAAAAGTTCTACCAGTGAGCAGGCCCTCCCGTCCTGCCCCGTCCATGCACTAACCCAGACCTGGCAGTGCGCTTTGTGCCGTACTGGCTAGATTTTCAGGAGAAAGACCAGGCCTTGGGTCTGCTCCTCCCTCAGTGCCTTCAGCCCTGACCAGCTCTTCCTCCTGGTGAAGTCTGACTGTGAATTAAGCCTTTGTACTTCATGTTGGAGGGTGAGCCCCACTGTGTTCCTTTCGCCAGCCTGCCTGAGGCCCAGAGCAGCAACTACAGGCAACCCAGAACATCTGCTGCTTGTGCCCTCCAGGAGGCCACTGGGGACTGGCAGTGGGGAGGGCATTTCTGCACCCAGCCAAACACAGGGTGACAATAAAATCCAGACTGTTGGCCTCTGCCTGCCTGCTCTGTTTTCTGGTCTGCCCGTCTGTTTAAGCACCCCCTTCAGTAATAAAGCCCTGTGCTGTAGAGCAGGAATGTGTTGGGAGATGTTGAGGCAGCTGCTTGAGAGGGGGATTGTGATGCCAGAAAACGGACTTTCTGTGCCCGTGTCTTGAAGCTTGACTGCCTAAGTGCCTTGGCTGGGCTGTCTATGGCCCAGTTGTAGCCCTGGTCAGTGAGAGCAATGGGAACAGTAGGGGCATGGTGTACCAGGATGCGAAAGATACTTCTTTCCCCAAATTCATTTCCTCACTGCATTGTATGCAGTTTTTTTCTTGGCATGCTCGTCCCTGGCTTCTCAGGATGTCTGTGGGAGAGTTATACAGAAGATAGCATGCTCGTCCCTGGCTTCTCAGGATGTTTGTGGGAGAGTTATACAGAAGATGGCATTTGCCTGGTGCTTTGGAACCTTGCAAAGAAGATGGGTGCCTGCAGATCCAGCTCCACCTCATTTCTGTGGCCTCAGCTCATCCCACCCCCACGTGGTGGTAAAGTTCTCACACTCAGCTGGGAACAGGGCCTAGTTGTATAAGCAGTGCTGGCCTCTTAATGGTTCCACTGAGTCACTGAGTTTGTACAGAATCCTAATTTGGGTCCCATCACACTTTGCCTTCTAAACCCAGATGGTGCTGACTCCAGCCTGTCCCGCTTGTGAGGGAGCTCATCTTGGGCTCCACTGAACAGCTGCCGTCCATTGCTAGGAAGCCCTACTCCAGAGCTGAGTCATCTCCTTAGATCTGCAGATGGCCAGAAGATACAGAACTGGTTCTCTGCACAAAGGCCAAGACCAGGTGTCTCAGGGAGCTGGCGGTGCTGCAGTTACACCGGGACCCTTGGTGGCACTGAGCTCTGATTTCTGGGTCTTCCCTCAACAAGAAGGTATAAATTCTGATAAAAATTACTTAAGACTCAAGGTGGCACACACCTTTAATCCCAGAGGCAGAGGCAGGCAGATCTCTGTGAGTTCAAGGCCAGCCTGGTTTACAAAGTGGATTCCAGGACAGCCAAGACTACACAGAAGAACCCTGTCTTGAAAAACAGGCAGGGGGGAGGGGGGCCTGGAGAGATGGCTCCGTGGTTAAGAACCAAAGGACCAGGGTTCAATTCCCAGTACCCACATGGCAGCTCACACTAGTCTATAACTCCAAGATCTGACACCCTCACACAGATATACATGCAGGCAATACACCAATACACATATAATTTAAAAAAAAAATACTAGTGGGTCAAGATATTGCGGAAGGGTGCGGTTTTACAGACCGGGGTGAGGACTGCTGCCCTGTGTTCTCAGGTTTAAGAGCAGGCTACACACCACTGCAAAGCCCTCCCCTGCTCAGAGACGCACATATGATGTCTTCATAGCCCATATCAGCCAACACCCAGGGCCCCACACTTTCCACTGGTTGTGGTCTAAGCCTTTATTCCCCTACCCCTTCGGGAGCCGTCAACTGTGAGAAGACACACAGCGCGGCAGCAGTGTTCCCCTCGGACAGGCACGGCGGTGGGTAGGGCTTAACTATTCGTAAAGACACTCAAGAAATAAATAGGTAGGTCAGGGAAGGCAGACAAGAAAACTGCCACCTCTGCCCACCCCACCAGAGGGCATGAGGGGTGTGGTTCTTGTTAGAGGTGCTGGAGAGGAATGGGGCGGGGGTGTGCATTAGCCAGGTCTCTAGCTGTCATACGGATCACCATGCTTGAGACTGAAGGGCCCAGAGATCTTCTCTGAGCTGGTAGCTTTCCTGAGCCACCTGCCTTTCCCAGTCAGACTGTCCTGTACCAGCGACACACCAGGGGGGGGCCCAGGTGTCCATCAGAGTGAAATGCTAACTGGGGAGCATCTGACCACTATGTTTCTAGAACTGAAGAGCGAGCGGCTGGGCTACATCCAGCCACTCTCCTCCAGGTTCTGTCCTCAGACTGCCCCATGGAAAGCCAGCGAATAGCTGTGATGACGTCAAAGCAAAGACCAAAGCAGGGACTCTAGTGCTCGGCATAGACCTGTAGCGGGTTCATCAGTGCCAAGGGTCAGGTGCCTAATCATGGGAGCAGACGGAAAGAGGGCGCCTCAGAGATGGGAGTCACACCCCTAACTCTGGAGCAGCCACAGGCAGAGCGTGAAGGAGAGGGCCCTTTGGGGAAACTGTACTTGAGTTCTGAGCCATCTTCCCTTGCTCTCTAACCTGAACATAAAGAGCTGACCAGTGTGTGGTGTCTGAAAGGCTACAGCGGGGCACAGGAAGGCGTTCTGCCCCCTGCTGCCACACACGCCACCTTTACTCTGCTGTGGGAATGACAGCAAAAGCCCCACCGGGGCAGGTGCCGAGCAGCGCCCCCTCCCCAAGTAGTCTTCACAAACAAGACTTGCTCCTGCAAGGTCCGGCTGCAGAGGCCCACAGGTCCCAAAGTGTCTCCCTGGAACACTCAGAACCCACCGAGCAGCCTCAGTCTTGGCTCTCCTCTCCTGCGGGAGGCCCTGCCCCCGGAAGATCTCAGGGCCTCCACTCCCGGGGCATTCAGGCTGTGCCGCCGCGGGCCGGACGGTTCAGATCTTGGGTCTCCAGCCCTTAATGAACTGCATGATCTTCTTGACCTGCAGCTTGGTGAGATGGAAGTCGTCAGCCAAGATGTCTTCACTGAGTTGCACGAAGATGCTTCCATCGATGCGTTCTCGGGCAAAGAAGCTCACCACGTCCTCGGAGAGCCCAATGAAGCGCAGGCTGCGCGAGACCTCTTCCAGGGAGAGCGCAGACAAGTCCGCTGGTGGCTGCCAGGGGGGTGTATCCCGGACTCCAGCGCCTGTGGCTCCCTCCCGGGGACTGCCAGGAGGCCCTTCCAGGCCCCCTTGGGTGAGAAAGAGTAGGGTCCCTCCTGTCTCGGGCCCCTGCAAGGCAGCTGGTGACAATGAGGCGGGGACCTGCCTCAGCACCAAACCTTCAGGCTCAAAGGCCTTAGGAGGACCAAGTGGTGAAAGGCAAGGTCCAGACCCAGGTGTCCCCACAGCTCTGGGCTCCTGACAGCGCAGCAGCTCCAGCTCTGGAGGACTAGCCTGCCCCAGCTCAAATGGGTCCAAGGGTTCCAGTGCTGGCTCCTGCCACTCAGAGGAGGACAGAGCAGCTGAGTAACCTTGGCCCTGAGGGCCTGGGCCCGGGGAATGTGTGGGGCTGGAGGTAGCCAGGGCACCCGAGGTGGATGTGGACGCAGAGGAGGAGGCCACTGGAGTACCTGAAGGGTGGGCAGGCCCAGAAAAGGGGTTGAGCGCACCAAATGGAGCAAAGCGCTTCTGGGCGTGGGAGGGCTTGAACAGAGGTGGACAGCCATGGTAGTTCTTAGCCACTGGGGTGTCAGCCCCTAAGAGGGAGGTGGTCCGACCACTCGGAGGCTCAGCTAGGGCTCTTGAGGCCTGGCTGGGCTGAGTGGTGGTAGAAGGCATGGGTCCTGGGGGTGGTCGACTAGAGGATTCGCTGGCCTTGCAGTCTCCCCAGGTACAAGGGTAACAATAGAGGGAGTAGGCATCCGGTGATGGGGAACCACTGCCACTGCGGGATCCTGCCCTATAAGCGGAGAGAGACACACGGGTGTACCCCCCGCGCGCCCCGCCCCCCCGGCGGGGGATGGTGTACACATAAGCCCTCAGCAGGAGACTTCTACTCTCACCAAAGCTAGCCAGCCTGCTAATCCCAAAGCCTGAGCTCCTCCTGAATCCCCCAAAGTCCCCAAGTCGTATCAGAACATTCAAGAGAAATTAAACTGAGAAAGTACAAATTGGAAAATAGTGATCTCAAGACTGAAGACAGGCTCAGTGGTTAAGAGTACTTGCTCTTGCTAAAGACCCTGGTTTGGGCTGGAGAATGGCTCAGCAATTAAGAGCACTGGCTGCTCTTCCATAGGACCCGGGTTCAGTTCCCAGCACCCACATGGCAGCTCACAACTGTTTCTAACTCCAGTTCCAGTGGATCCAACTCCCTCAAACACCAATGCATATAAAATTTAAAAAAGGAAAAAAAAAGCTCAATTCCCAACACCCACATGGTGGCTCTAACCATCCATAACTCCAGTTCCAGGGGATCTGAATTCCTCTTCTGATCTCCATATATATATGCAGACAAAACATACACATAAAATAAAATCAATAAATCTAAAGGAAGGAAGGAAGGAAGGAAGAAGGAAGGAAGGAAGGGTGCATTCCTGCAGCAGAATCCCAGTGTAGAGAATGACCACCCACCACCACTCCAAGCATCTGAGCAAAGCCAGGGACCAATGCAGTGACTCACCCATCCTGCAGGCCTGAGGAATAATAGGAGAGGCTGGAGCTGGGTGAGTGGACAGGCTGCAGCTTGGGAAAGCGGGGCGGCACTGGGGGGCTGCCTGTGAGCCTGCTGCAGCTGCTGCCGCCCCGAGGAGGTACAGGAGGGGCATGAAGCAGGCGACACTCTTCCTTTACCTGCAGAAGGTGACTGTGTCACTAGGCAGCTGGCCCTCCTTATCTCACTTCCCAAGCAGGTGAACCTGGGTCTGGGCCTGACATCTTACCCCACCCATCAGGGAGACTACCCTGGCTGGATAACCCAGCTATCCAGCCACCTGGCTCATCTCCAGCCCATTTTGTCCCTCACACTCGGTCCACAACAGTCCCCTATTCCACCTTAAATTCACTGTGAATGTTAGCAGATTGGGGGAGGGGCAGATATGGGAAAGGCAGATATGGGGGGGGAGGTATATGACAAGAGCGACAAAAGGGAGGGACAGGATCTGCCATCTAGATCCCATCCTTCCAGATTAAGTCCCCCAAAGAGTGTGTTAACAGGTGTGACTGATGAGGGAAATATTCTGAAGGCAAATAAATGGGGACCTGTTAAAAATCTTCCTCAGCGCAGAACATTTCAGAGCCTATAATGTGGTTCTAACTCCCAAGAAGTCAAGGGGTTGCTGGAAATCCCTCGCCATTTCCTACACTTACTGCGCCTCGGAACTTTACCTCACGAAGGACTTTGTGGGTAATCCTGTTTCCAGTTCACCCTTAAGTCTCCATGCCTTGCGTGCATGCGTGCGTGCTGTGGTCTTGCCCCCTCTCCCTTTCCCTTTTGGCTATGGCCATCCTATCACATCCCCGGTGCCCGGGTGTCATCACTTTTGTGGCCCTCTAAAAGCAGCCCAAGTTCCCCCGAGGACAGCAGAGCTGACTTACCGCCTCGGATTTGGGGGGGACAGGAGGCGGTGGTGCTTCGGACTCATGACGTGGGGACCCCACGGTCCCGAAAGAGATGAGGTCCGGCCCTGGCAACTGCCGGACACGGGCATCGACGAGGTTCTCGGGGGCCTGGTGCACCCATAGCTCTTCGTACGGAATCTCGGCGCACGCGGCCGCAGGTTCCGTCGCACCCGCCCAATCCGGGCTCACATACTCCTGGTCGCCGTCACCGAGCGCGGGCAGGGCTGGCCCGAGGCGACACGGTGGTCCGGGCGCTCGGACGAGCCCGGGGGCGCGCGGCGCGGGCAACCTGGAGTAGCGGAGCCCGAAATGCGCGACGAAGACCGAACCGGCGGCCGCGTGCGCCGATATTCCGTAC